TGAAGATAAAATAAAGTCCGAAATTTTTTTTTTGCATAATTAAGTAAATTATATTAGCTTTAATTTAGGATATATATAAAAGTGTCAGACCTTCCGGAACATTTTCAAAAGTTAAGTTGAAAAAGTTCATTTTTTTTGAAAAAGTTGTCATTTTAAATCCCCCCTTGTGGGCAGGTTAAGGGTTAAATTTATGAAAAAAATATACCAAATGAAAGGTAATGATATTATGCATCTATATAAAAAAGAATTATATTGATATGTTTATTTTTGAAAAAGTTATGGCACTTTTAAGTAAAAAAAATTGAAAAAATTTCGAAAATTAGCGATTTTTAAATTTGTAATTTTTTTGGAGGTTTCCCCCATTTACGGGGAACGAGGGAATTTTTTTCAATTTTTGAGGGTAATGTCTTCGACTAGATACAATTTGTGATCTTTTGACGTATCATTGAAAGAAATTGGTTCGGTGAGAGCTGAGAAAAAGTGGTAACAGACATAAAAAAAATAAAAAAAAATAAACACATCTTAGTAAAACCAATACCTTCTCAGCTTCGCATCGAAGCTAAAATAATAAAAATATCACTAATTATATTTCAATTATGACAATATCTACTACTTATATCTACTACAATACTACTTCCAACTTCTGTTCATTTGATCAATTAATATTCATTAGTTTTTTTCATATTCAATATAAGATGAAACAATTATGACACGCTAGTACTCTATACTCTACTTGATATGTGCTTCTCGTTAGTTGCTCACTCAACCGTTTCATTTGGTTTTATTACACTAATTAAGAATATTTATTTTTAATAGCAAATTATTTACTGAATATTGTACTACTTTGGTAAATATTGTAAATTATAAATTACTTATTTATTTCTCCATTAGGTTCACTTTAAAATCTTAGTTAAAATTGTTTCATCTTTAATGGATTCCTGTAATATTACTTGTTCATGATTCAAGCTGATTAATAGTCTTCGAAAATAGCTTATTAGGCTATTTTCAAGAACTGCAGTTGACTAGTCAACTGACATTTTGAGAGGTTTTTTATGATCCGGATTAATATGGCCCCCTTTGGTTCAGTGTAACAGTGTGATATGGCAGAAAAATTTGCTGAACTGAATTATTTTCTCAGTCATCAAATTATCAAGAAGCTAATTAATATTAAAAGAAATTAAAAGAAAATTGCCAAGTGTGATTATTATTAAAAATTTTAATAAGCAAATTTTAATAATTAACTTAATAATTTAAACTACCTCTAATTACAATATAAATTTACATAAAACTATGGATTTTTATATTTAAAATGTTAGTATCAATATTATTGTTATCTTAAAATTAAAAATACCTAATGTCCAGCATTGTAAATACTTTTATAATTTTAATGCATTGCAATGTACTAAAAGGTCACTTGTTCGAGATATTTTCAGAGTTAGTTAATTTTAGTTAATTTTCCATTCCAAAATTTTCAAAAGCTCTATGAAATATTTTTAAAAGTACACCACTGCTTTAATTTACCTATTTTATTTATGACAATGGCATATTTATAAATTTTGTATAGATGGGTTCTGATAGCTTTTAGAATGTAAAGAACTGGGAGATTCAACCTTCCATTATTCCCGTTACTATGATTTTACGTGTATGGGAGGATCCGGGCCCCATAGACCCCAATTTGGGTCTATTACCAAAAAAGTTATTAAAATTATAATAATTCTTAGTTTTTGATTAAGTCTAATTCTCTAAATCATTAAAAATATGTCACTCAGCGATAACATATCAGCCATAAAATACCTGTTTATATTAGTTCTATCTTAGAACTAGTATAAATTATTGACAATAAATTGACCAATTCATTGACAATAATAATTAATGTTACGAATCACATTCGTAAAAGTTGAATCATTAAATTGACCAGTGTAGTCATTGCCTGGTTACTTAAACGAAATTTGATTTTTTAAATAACTTAAGAAATCATTAATTTATCCCACACTTTATAATTTTAACGTTGAGTAATTAAAATTATTTCAATCAAAACCCTTATTTTTAATAGGTTTCAATTTTTAAGAGTTTTCAAATCCGTTTATTTCTGTTCTAGAAGCAGTTTCACTTTGTAAGGATTCTGATTTTGGAACAAGTCCCTACATTGAACGTATTAAAATAAAAGTTGTTACAATTAAAAAATATTAATAACAATAATAAATCACTCAAAATTTATGACATATTTCATTTTTATAATATATACGTTTATTGTTTGTATACTTTAAATTTCCATTACAACAAAAGCGTTTAATTGCTGCTCTGGAAACCTGTCACAAAATAATGAAGAAAATGTTCTAAGCGCAAGATTGTTTAAATTTTACTATAGCTTACAAAGTATAATTTTATTAATTTTTCAATTTAATTCATATTTTCTTGTGAGCAAACAATTTACTAATTATTTTACTCTGATAAGATATTAAACACACTACTTACCCTTGTCATATTTTATAGAAAAAAAGAGTGTTAAATTATTTCTCAATGTGTATCTACAAAAATAAAGTTACATTTACTTCATAATTTATTTGAGATCTATGTGATTTTAAAAATTGAGATTTTTTTGTTTTTAGCATGTTTTAAAACGACTTAAATATTTAGTAATATAATTAATTCTTAGTACAATAATGTGTTAAAACATTTTTATCACGCAAATTAAAGTTAATAAAAAAAGTGTTACTTGTTTTATAAGTTTCTTGATTTTACTATTTCAATTCTAAATTATAATATTTATATATAGTGTTTTTTTTTCTTAATAAATATAATTATTTAAAATTTTTATCAACTACAATTCTACAGTTACTGAATATATATTTTTATGAAATTAAATAATTTTTCATTTGTAAAATTAAAACTTTTAATAATAATATAAAATTATAAACTGTGACAATATTTTAGCATAAAATATAGACGATTTAAAAGTAATACAATGTAATAAGGAGCACTCAACTATATTGAATACTTAAAATGACATTTAATTTATACGAAAATTATTTAATTTCTTATTTAAAGGATAAAAATATAAAACTTTATTTTATTTCTATGCTATATTTTATACATTATTTAGGTAACATTTAAATTTGTTGCCTTCAGTAAACGTTGGCACAATTCCGGGGTGTATAAGAGGACTTAGCACCTCAATATCTATCAATCTCTCAATAATTTAAAAATCAGAATAGAGAGAACACAGCATAGTTAAGACAAGTTTAGATGTTTGGCAATGATTAACATAACTATCATAAAAAACACTTAGTTGCAATCCTGTTAAATTTGTATTTTTATAAATTCACTATTTTTACGTTTTAAAATTTCATCCAAATACAAAATAACTATTATATTATTTTATTAATTAAAATGAAGTACTTTTTTGTAAGAATTTCTAATTTTTACTTTGATGATCAATTTTACATAATAGAAAAATAATGGGATGGATATCATTTTTATATTGAAGATCATTCCAGGGCTTTAGATTATTATAGGTTAAAAGTTGTGAGACGTTCCGAAACATTTTCAAAAATTAAACTGAAAAATATTGTTGACATCTGTAGGTTTGGTTACTTTCAAATCCTCTTGTACATAAATTTTTCATACAAAACATACCAAAAAAAAACTAAATTTCCCTATTAAAATTTCATTATGATTAGTAATTTACTAATGCGTTTCATTATGATTATTTCATTATAATTAATGTTTTATGAAATTATTGCAGTTTTAAAATATAAAAAACCCAGCACAGGGGGGTCGCGGCACAGTGGTGACGTGGCATAGATGGATCAAGTATAATGATATCTGACAGTGATTAAAATCACTATAAAAAAAAA